TTTAGTCTAAAGATTTTAGACAAAAGTATAGTCTTATACACGGAAAATAGGGTAAATACATCGTTCTGTTTTTTTAATAAATATTTTGAGACCATAGATAAGTGAAACTGCAGATACTGATCCAACAGATACAGTGGTCCTACGGTTTAGTCAAAAAAGATGGCATGTTTTCAAGCACTAGTTGGGGTCAAAGAAACTGCACAAAAGGAAGAAAGTGGCAGTCTTCTTGTTAAGCATGCTAAGATTTGGCAGAACATACAGTATCTGCTTCTCCAAGCAACATTCATTTCTCCCTCACCATGTATTTTGTTTCTCTCTATGGCAGATTATCTTCCGAAAAATCAGTGATGTCAAAAAGGAGGAGGAGGAGCGCCTACGGCAGAAGAACGAAGTGACCTTGAGCATCCCGGTGGACCATCCTGTCCGAAAGCTGTTCCAGAAATTCAAGCAGCAGAAAGAAATGAGGAACCAAGGCACGACCTTCGCTGACCCGGAGAGGAACACCCTCCAAGTGGAGACGCGGACCCTGCAAAATGGGGCCGCCATCACGGGCACCAGCGTGGTCACCGTGTCTCAGATCACACCCATCCAGAGCTCCTTGTCTTACGTGAAGACCGAGGCCATGAAACAGAACAATCGGGAGGCCCTGGAGATCAACCCAGAGAGCAGCGGCGGGGTTACTGGCGGTGGGGACCCTAAATCCCTCAAGGTCACTAGCCCCGTGCGGATGAAAAACGGGAACGGCAAAGGGTGGCTTCGACTCAAGAACACCATGGCGAGCCAAGAAGAGAAGAGGGAAGACTGGAACAACGTCACCAAAGCAGAGTCCATGGGGCTGTTGTCCGACGACCCCAAGAGCATCGATTCGGAGAACGGCGTGACGAAAAACCCGCTGAGGAAAACGGACTCTTGTGACAGCGGGATCACGAAAAGTGACCTTCGTTTGGACAAAGCTGGGGAGAACCGCAGCCCCCTGGAACACAGTCCCATTCAAGCGGACGCAAAGCACCCCTTCTACCCGATTCCCGAACAGGCCTTACAAACGACGCTCCAGGAGGTGAAACACGAACTCAAAGAAGAGATCCAGCTGCTAAGCAGCCGAATGGCCACCCTGGAGAAGCAGGTGGCTGAGATTTTAAAAATACTGTCTGAAAAGGACACCTCACAGACCGCTTCTCCCAAATCCCATTTATCTCCTCAGCTATCGTCCCAAATACCCTGTCAGGATATTTTTAGTGTTTCGAGGCCCGTGTCGCCTGAATCGGAAAAGGATGAAATCCACTTTTAATATTCACCCATTTCTCTTTGTATACTAAATGTATACTGTGAAATGGGCCTGCATACCTGCAGATATAGAGGTGCATATATTTATATACACAGAGAGACACACGTCGGTCTGGGTCTGTGTGTAAGGTGTACCCATATATACACACACATGTGTGTATGTATAAATAAATTATAGAGAGAGATATATAGATATATATATAGATAGATATATCTAAACATATATATTTTCACTTGCATTCAATATGACTTGAACACAAGAAAATGGATTTTGATATGTAAATATTGCATGTCCAGCTGGATTCTGGCCTGCCAAAGAAAACAGTTATTAATATAGATATTGCTTGTATAATATGCAGTTGACTGCATGCCCACTTTCAATTTATTTATAATCTCTATTACAAAATAAAAGAATGAATTTTGTTTAAAAAAGAATAGAGCGCAGGCAATGGGTTGTTTAAAGAATTAGGGAAACCATCCTGTCCATATTGTTTTTGTGTTTGATCTGTTTTCTGAAGCGGAGTTTGTGAAAAACAAACACACACTGGAGTACGCAGGGTATGGGGAAACCTCTTAGTCTGAACATGCTCGTTGGTTCGGTCCAGGGTCTCAGGGTCTCAGGGAAACCTGAAGGCTAGCTTTTGGCCAGCAGTCTTTCCCTCATCATGTTCCAGATCTGGAAATGGCTGTGTTCTGCCCTTTAATAGAATAAACAAACAAATGCTTTTAACTCTTGGGGAGATGTTTGGGGAATTTTCAAGGGTGAGTAAGGATTCGAACCCTTGTCTCCCAGGTCCTAAGATGACCTCCTACCTATGACATCACACTGTCTTTCCTGAAGATTAATACTGGAATGTTTTTTCTGCCTGGCTGATACTCATTCTTAGCTATTCTTCTGAGCTCCAGAATGCATATGGAAAAGTATAATTAGGCCTATGTTCACAGCTAGACCTACAGTATAGCACAGAAGTGAGTACGCCCCCTCACATTTCATAAATATTTTAGTTTTTCATGTGACAACGCTGAAGAAATGATACTTGGCTACAATGTAAAGCAGGGGGTACACAGCTTGTATAACAGTGCTGTCCCTTCAAAATAACGCAACACACAGCCATTGATGTCTAAACCGCTGGCAACAAAAGTGAGTACATCCCTAAGAGACAATGTCCACCATTATCTTCCATCTTTGCCTTAACCCTCTTGGGCATAGAGTTCACCAGAGCTTCACAGGTTGCCACTGGCGTCCTCTTCCACTCCTCCGTGATGACATCACAGAGCCGGTGGATGTTGGAGATCTTGCGCACCTCCACCTTCCGTTTCAGGATGCCCCACAGATGCTCAATAGGGTTTAGGTCTGGAGACATGCTTGGCCAGTCCATCACCTTTACCCTCAGCTTCTTTAGCAAGGCAGTGGTCGTTTTGGAGGTGTGTTTGGGGTCGTTCTCACGTTGGAATATTGCCCTGCGGCCCAGTCTCTGAAGGGAGGGGATCATGCTCTGCTTCAGTCTGTCACAGTACACGTTGGCATTCATGGTTCCCTCATTAAACTGTAGCTCCCCAGTGCTGGCAGCACTCATGCAGCTCCAGACCATGACACCCCCACCACCATGCTCAACTATAGGCATGACACACTTGTCTTTCTAATCAGGCAGCTGCTGCCACACACGCTTGACACCATCTGAAGCAAATAAGTTTATCTTGGTCTCATCAGACCACAAGACATGGTTCCAGAAATCCATGTCCTTAGTCTGCTTGTCTGCAGCAAATTGTATGTGGGATTTCTTGTGCATCATCTTTAGAAGAGGCTTCCTTCTGGGACAACAGCCCTGGAGACCAATTTGATGCAGTGTGCAGCGTATGGTCTGAGCACTGACAGGCTGACCCACACCCCACCCCAACCCTTCAACCTCTGCAGCAATGCTGGCAGCACTCACACGTCTAGTTCCCAAAGCCAACCTCTGGATATGACGCTGAGCACGGGCACTCCACTTCTTTGGTCAACCATGACGAGTGGAACTCACTCTGTTCTGAATGGAGCTTGTCCTGTTAAACTGCTGTATGGTCTCGGCCACCATGCTGCAGCTCAGTTTCAGGGTTTGGGCAATCTTCTTATAGCCTAGGCTGTCTTTACGTAGAGCAAGAATTTGTTTTTTTCCAGATCCTCAGATAGTTCATGACCATGAGGTGCCCCGTGGAACTTCCAGTGACCAGTCAGAGAGAGTGAGAGCGGTAACACCTGCCCCCCTTCACACCTGATACTTCTGATGCTAACGGATCTCATGACACCAGGGAGGGAAAACAGCTACTTGGGCCCAATTTGGACATTGTCACTTAGGGGTGTACTCACTTTTGTTGCCAGCAGTTTAGACATTAATGGCTGTGTGTTGCGTTATTTTGTGGGGATAGCACATTTATACTGTTATACAAGCTATACACTCACCGCCTTACATTGTAGCCAAGTGTCATTTCTTCATTGTTGTCACATGAAAAGTTATACCAAAATATTTATGAAATGTGAGGGGGTGTACTCACATCTGTGATATACTGTAAGTGCCTGTGAAGGAGCTTGTGCTGATCTGCAGTGCATTTCTCAGTGTCAAAGTGGTTCCCTCTCCTCCCCTACAAAAAATTGTTTATATTATGTTACTTTGCACTGTTTACCCAAGGTATATGAGGTCACTGAACCACTAGCTTCTAGCAACTAGTGGGTATGCTGGGTCGAACAAGCAAAAGATGACGCTGAAGGACTAGACAAGATTCTTTTGAAGTGTGGTGCATTTCTATGATGATCCATGGAGTCAATGCAGAGCATGCCTGTATTGGAGTGGCATCACCTGCCCCCAATCCTTTCTGTTCAATTTGCCATTCATGGGTTCAGATGTTAACCGTTAAAAAGATGTTCCAAAAAAGAGAGGAAAAGGACACTGAAACTCTTAATCCCATATAAGGAAGACACTGAGCCTACATCCAAGAAGACTGACAGCTTCCCCCTCCAATGAAATCTGATATCTCTCCTACACACTCTAATTGCAGAAGCCCTGTGGAGAATTTGTGAGTGAGGCCACCAGCCATAGCAGCTGGTTCCCACGTTTTTGAAAGTCACTTTGCAAAGTGGGGGAGAGTGTGGCATATTACCTGAGATTTTCCTCTCTTTTTTTAACCTCTGTTTTTTAAAACTTGGCTAATTACCAGGACTGAGTATCAATGTGCATGTGCAGATGGATGCCTGCATTCTTGTTAGAGTCAGCTTACAACTTCATTCTAGGACATTAGGGTCTGGCTTTCTTCCTCCTTGCTGTTGGTTTCCCTTTGTTTGCAATCATGGTGGTGGTTACCGTCAAAGTTCACAGTAGCTACCTCCCGATTCTCTTTTTCTTGTGTTCTCTGGAAGGAGCAGGCAAATAATTCTGTGGGTGCCATGTAGATGCCCACCCCACCTGATAGCTGCCTGTGTTTCCCCATTGGAGAGAACCCTTTTTCCCCATAAGAGATCCAGAAATTCCCACATCCTGACACAGACATGGGCATGGATCAGATTGGGCAGGCAAATAATTCTGTGGGTGCCATGTATGGATCAGATTGTCATAACTTTAAAAGGGCAGAGGATGTGTTCGGGCACCGACTGGTCCAAAGAATCAGTGCCTATCCCTAACAATGTCTCCTATACTTATAAAATTTTAAAAAGTTCAAAGGAGGAACTATATGTTCCACACTTAGTACATCTGTCTGTGGGATGTTGGAAATTACCTAAATTGTACCAATGGCAGCAGTTAAGATGGTCTACAGGATACCCTCTTCTCCTCACTACCCATTCACAGTTGTTGAAAAACAGCCCTGACCATTGCTTTGTGTTCAGGTGAGAAGTGGTTAACTGATGAATTTTCCCTTGCATGGTGTCACTTTGTGAATGACTGAGCACGAGAGGGGATCCTGTTGACCATCTTGACTGCTGCCATTGGAGTTGTCAACATTCAGGCTGCCGTTTGCTATGTAAAGTTTGGCAACTTTTGTCCTGCTGGCAACACAGGCATGATATTGTGCAGCAATACTGGGCCATTTGCTGGATTTTTTGAACCACGGGAAAAGAAGCCAGAACATCCCACATTCATGAAACTAGGGTTTGTTTTGTTTTGTCTTTTGCATAATTGCATTTCTCTTTATGCTTGTCTTGCACCCATGCGTTCCAAATAATTGTACTAGTTGCTAGATGTCATTAACTCACAGTTGAATATACAGTGGTTCTTTCATGATCTATGTTTGCAATAAGAATGTAAGGATTCATTCTCTTCTCCAAGGTTGAAAATGGGGGGGGGGGGGGGGAAATCAGCTATCTCACAAGGCAGTGGAATATTTTCTGCCTTTCCCCTTTATGAGCAAGATTCCCCTTTATGAGCAAGATTTTGGTGCAAATAATGCCCTGGCACAAATTGTGCAAAACTGTGAATGCTGCTGCTTTGTTCCTGCGGCTTTTAAGAATGAAAAGCAGTGGATGGGTTGCTTGTCTCTTTTGAGGAACAGCTGGCCTCCCAATGCGGTGGGTGCCCTGTCGCTGGAGGTTTTCAAGAAAAGATTGGACAGCCATCTGTCCGGAATGGTTGGAGAGTGGTTTGGTCTTGAACGGGCAATGAAGAGTGTCAAGATTTACAACAGACCTGTCCCTTGTGTATTGACATGCATGAATTTAGCTGCTTGCATTTATGTCTCCTTAGTAAGGACCAGCTTTTCGAACTGTTGTAGTGAGTGCCTGCATTTCAAAATTAACCACTGTGCTGCTGCTTTTTGAACAATGTGTGCTATATATGTATGTGTTTTGCTTCTCAAAGGGGAAAGGCTTCTTCTTCTCCCTGGAGAAGCTTTGCATCCAGAAAAGTGCCAAAGTAATACAGACAAACCAAAACAAGCATATATTAATTTATACCAAGCCCAAACAGATTAGCAGTTAGAAAACCCAAGACCTGCCACAAATGTCACAATATAGAAAGTTCCTCTTCTAGTTCCAGATAGGTGGCCCTGCTCTCTTCTATTATGTTCAATTCCATCTTTCCATCTGGTTTCCTCACTGCCATAAGGATCGGCCAGCCTTCCACGATGGCTGAACATGTCCAGTCTTCACTTGCTAGTTTTGAGAACCCTGTCTCTAAGGTTTCTTCTGATGCACAGTTTTGAATTTCTGCTAAAATTCCATATTTGTTACACAGTAGAAGTACAGAGACACATAGAGGAGAATAGCTTCAAGTTCCCAGATATTCCACCCCTTTCTCATTAACTGGTGCTTACAGTCTCACTCTGAGACATTTATAAAAGAAAGAATAAAAATGTTCCATTACTCACAATTGTGAACAGATCATCAGCAAACTAACAACTCTCCT